GGACTTGGAAATAAAGAACAAACTTTTAGGGTAATTTTTGTTACTTAAAATTTTGCATATTATAGATACATTTTATGAAACAGACTACTATTAAATGCCTCAATTTTCTGTAATCAGTCATTTTTGGCAGTGAATTCAGCTAACATATTCACATTTATTTGAAATAAATGCAGAAAATTTGTATGTAGAATGGTACTATTTATATGCTTTTAAGTATATATTTGGCTAATAATACTGAATGTGAACTTCCTTTTAAAATTTATCAAGCACATTCCTAGCCATTTATCACAACAGTAAGTTTACGTTTGTAAGGTGATTTGAGCACTTTCACGTACTGTTTTTACTCTAAAGCAAAACGTTGACAGTGTTAGGACTGTTTTTACTCTACAGCAAAATGTTGACAATGTTAGGTATGGGTGTCTTTTATTATAGACAGTTTAGAAACTTTTGCATCTGCTCTGGTTATCAGATTAAGGTTTGTAGTTTCTCTGTTTTACTTTTGATTTTTAAATATTCAGAAAAAAGGTCTTGCATGTGAAAATCTGTATTGGTTGTGATAGAAATAGGTAAATTAGGAAAAATATCCTAATCAAAGAGATAACTTTCTGACAAAGAATGAGTAAGTTTAAGATGACATGCTTTTTCTTGATTAGTTTAAATGCTGTAAATCCCAAAAGAAAAATGTGATAGCCTTGTTAATATGTTTGTACAAAACAGGTTGTGGGCCAAATTTGTCCTGCAGGCTATAGTTTGGCAACATGTCTTGGACTGGAGAAATGTTTGACTGGAGCCAGTAAAGAAGCAGATTTGTTGACCTCAAGAGTAGGTATTATTTTATTTACTGTGAATTTATTGGTCTCTGTGAAGTAAATACTATGTACCCGTAAAAGGTTGTCTGAGTTCTTCCTGCCTTGGTTATTGTGTTGAAATTAAAGATCCACTTTGTAACAATAGACTAACTAAACAGTAAGGAGGCATTCTACTTCCAGTATTTACATATAATCGCACTTAACTATGGTTAACTGCTTGAGGGCAAGGGTCATCTTCTCCCTGGACTTTGGACGGGTAAATAAGCCATCAATAAATTATTGTTGACTTTTCACTCTGTCTGGAGAAAATGATATAAAATTTGTCTTTTTTGAAGCTATGAGAATTTATTAGTTTCTGGTTATGCTGATTGTATATTATAATCGTATATTCAGATATCAAACATCATGTTAATATTTGCCCTGCCTTTTCAATTCTTAACACCTATTTGAAGGTTAGAAGATAATGCCACTTTTCTCATCTCTTGTGGTAGTGAGGTGAAATCCAGATGTTAATCTTGGAGTTCTCAGATGGTTTATTCAGGTCTTAAAGCATTTTAACATTTTCCGCAGAGGACTGTTGGTGCTGGTCCTGGCTGATTTTTACTTAGCAGCCCCATTTCTCTGGCAAATTAGTTGCTGTTTTGTGGTGTTACTTTTCTGTACTTAATATTAGCTGCTTTGTAGTATATGGTAGATATAGTGGTTCCAGATCTGGGTTTTCTCTATGCTTGCCATTTGTGTGTTGATGTTTCCAAGCAAGCCATACGTATAGTTCCATGTATTGATGTTTATGTTTATTCTGTCAGTGTAGCAGAAAATGTATCCTCATGAATGCCAGTTATTCCCATTTTTCTTTCGAGGGCACATATTTGCCTTTGCTCGAGGAAATGCCTGAGAAAAATGATTGCTTTTGTTTTCTAGGATATTGTATGTCATTATCATAATCACCATTCTCATTGAGAAAGAAGATGCCTCATTTTTGTTTTCTGATTTTTTTTTTTTTTTTTTTTTGGAGATCCCTCGTGTGGACAGTACCTTCCCTTTTTTATTTATGTTCTATCTTCCTGCCTTATAAGTGCCATTTTAGGCACTTGGGGGGAAGATAGACTATTAAGCAAGGTACATTACTTGTTTCCAGTTAAAATTGTTTGAACACTTGCCCCATAGATGATGCTGAATAATCTCATATTTGCTGGAAATCCTCAGCTTCAAGAACAAATGAGACAACAGCTCTGAACTTTCCTCCAACAAGTGAGTAAGAAAAGATGCTAGTTGTTTTTGGTAATGATTTGCTTGAAAAAGTTTGATGATAAACATTTTCCTTGCTCTTCTCTGGCTGATAGCAAAATAGGAGTTTGATAATGCTGCAATCCAGAGCCCCATTTCACTGCTGACCTTTTTCTTATATTTCTTAAACATAATCTGAGGAAAGGACCATTTTGATTTTGCTTTTGAGGACTTAGGGTTTTGAATGCTCTGTTAATACCATAAACCATTTCCTTTCACTTTACTTTGAAGTGCTTCCCTGTGTCATGTTATGCTTTATGGTTTAACTAATTTCAAGTAACAGGAAAGAGCTACCCCATCCTGTTTTACAGGTTTGGTTTCTTTGAAATGTTTTTATTTCTTCCAGATTAATAGAATACCTATTTTCCAAGGGGTTGATCTCATTTCTTCAAACTTGGAATTAGTAAAATTAAAATTGTGTCCAGAAGGTTTTATTATTAAAGAAAACTTGAGATTGCCATGGTATTTTATTATTTAAAAATATAAAAGAGAAGTCAGTTTTGGTGTTTTTGAAACTGGTAGTTCTAGGGCTTTATATATTATGCAATTGGTTCTCAGTCCTGTAAACCATTATCCAAGGTTAGTGTCCTGGTATTGTTATGTAAGCCTGTCTTTTTTTGCTCAGTCAGGTGGTGTATATTTGGAAGTAGTGAAGCTAAACTCGGGAAACATATTAACTTCAAATTTGGAACTACTGTTTTAGAGCGTACCTTACTTGTAAAATTGTTACATCAGTGATAGATAACACTTGGTCAGGAGGAATATGTGTCTTTCACCATATTACCATGTCATGTAAATTGTGCATTTGGAGGTTGTTTTCTTATTGTTTTATTATTAGAAATAATACTTTATTTTGTGTTGCAGAAGGGGAATAGTTGTGGCTTCTAGAGTAGCTCCTGATTGTCTTCCATTGTGAAAATGGCCTTCACAAGGGGAATAGTTGTGGCTTCTAGAGTAGCTCCTGATTGTCTTCCATTATGAAAATGGCCTTCATGATGGACTTAGAAGGAGGCCAAGCACACTAGGTTTGCTGTCAAAGAGGAGGTGCTTGTGTTTATTTTGGGAAAGAAATTATGGATTACCGGTGTCCAGGAGTAAGGTTTTAGATTTTTTCCAGAAACATAGCAAAGAAAAGATTTAAAAATTTACCTTCACTAATTTTAATTCCCTTGTAACCCCTGGTTTTCTTTCTTCCTTAGATGCAGAATCCTGATACACTATCAGCAATGTCAAACCCTAGAGCAATGCAGGCCTTGTACAGATTCAGCAGGGTTTACAAACGTTAGCAACCGAAGCTCCCAACCTCATCCCAGGGTAGGTTTATTTGGGGACAATTATGAGAGTCTATAATGGTCACTTTCTCTGAGAATTTCTGATTTAATATTATTCTGCTTTATTGTTGTTGAGATGGTTTTTAAGTCAGTTTTCTAAGTTAAAAATGATTATTTTAAGAAGATAGCTTAGCTAATATTATGTTAAAATATAACTATTTTTCACTTGTACTGGGCTGGCCACCATCCAGTTTTGCAGGAGCTTAGGTTTATTACCTGTCTCTGCTTTCTCTAGGTTTACTCCTGGCCTGGGAGCAATAGGAAACACTGGAGGCTCTTCAGAAACCAACGGGTCTAGCACTACACCCAGTGAAAACACAAGCCCCACAACAGGAACCACTGAACCTGGGCACCAGCAGTTTATTCAGCAGGTGCTGCAGCCTCTTGCTGGAGTAAATCCTCAGGTAACACAGTTCTTTTTCAAGTTTTGCATTCCTTAATGTTAGAAATTTCGAAATTTCCAAAAAGGAGAAAATGAAAGTGCAGTCCTTTAGTGTTTAGACTAATGAAAAGCACAGTCCTAAGGATATTGAATGTAAAAATAGGCATTACAAAAATTAACTTTGCTATATCAGATACTGAAGGAAATATTGTTGAGTTGTAGGTAAGAAATGCTATAACCCAATGCCTTATTTTTTAGAAGTCGCCTTTAAAAATGCATTCTTTTGGGCCGGCCCGGTGGCGCACTGGATAAGTGCGCCGCTTGGGAAGCGTGGCGGCGCTCCCGCCCGAGGGTTCGGATCCCACATGCAGACCGGTTCCCGCCCACTGCTGAGCGAGGCGCGGGAGCAACGCCGAGGGTTGCAATCCGTTGCTGGACACGGAAAAAGACAAAAGACAAAAAAAAAAAAAAAAGCATTCTTTTTTGGAGTCCTTATTTGAAAATCATGTGAAATATGCTTTGTTTTATAAAATTGTCAGGGAGGAATAGAAACTTGACTTTCTCAAGTTTCTCCAGGACAGCTGTTTGCTACTTTTTGTATTTTAACTTTAAAAAAAATCCTAACTACTTCATGTTACTGACCACCATACCACCTTCTGTGTGTGGTAACTTTTGTTACATAAATACACCTCACAAATATGGCCAAAAAATTTAGACCCCTAATAATGTTCTTGCATGTGCAAACATGTATTGGCCTTATTATGAATGTGCCATTATATAAATATGATTGCCAGTTCCAAACTTATTACAGTAGGTTGCCCCAACTTCTGCATGGAAAAAAATGTTTCAGGGTCTATTTGTTACTTTCTGATTTCAAGCCTAACTAAATACAGTAAGTGAGGCAGAGTTCTATTTTACACATATTTATATTCCCAATACCTACCATAGTTTCTGTCTTATGGTAGGTACTCAGTAAAAATTCATGGAATTAATAAGAAAAAGTGATTTTAGGTATTAGGCAGAATTAATTGTTACATAAGTTGAATAGCCTTACAAGCTTCCCCGTTATCAGATTGGCCAGGACTGACTGGTCATTTATATGCTTTTGTTTTGCCTCATTTCTGAAGAATGATTTGATGCACCTGAATTGTCATGATTTAGGAGTGTAGTTTGTGGGACTGAAACTGGAACTCTTTTTCTAAGAATTGAATGGCCAGTGCGGAAATCGAATACACATTCTAAGCCTTATTGCAAATGTAGAATTTTATTCAAGAGGGACACTGGCATTTATAGTTACTCAGTGGTCAGTAGCTACACAAAATAAATCATCTAGTTGTAAACTATTTGCATATATACTTTTAAGTTTTTCTGTATGTTTATGAGCCCATTAAATAATGGTTGGAATTTATTAAGCTTTTTTTCCTAAAAACAGAGTTATGTGGTCAGAGTTATTTGACATGATTGCTTAGGTATAGCCTAGACTAAAGTAATAAAATAAAGCGCTAGTGGACTTTTAAATATGTTGGATATGTTTCAAGAGAGAGGCAGTGCTTTTAAAGCTCAATAGAGCAGCATATGTTATAAAATAGCAATTACGATTTTGTAAAAGTTATTTTGGTGTGACATGGACTAGTGTCCTTTAGAGTTTGATTATTATTATTATTTTTTTCTTTCACAGCTACAGAACCCAGAAGTCAGATTTCAGCAACAACTGGAACAACTCAGTGCAATGGGATTTCTGAACCGGGAAGCCAGCTTGCAGGCGCTAATAGCAACAGGAGGTGATATCAATGCAGCTATCGAAAGGTTACTGGGCTCCCAGCCATCTTGGCAGCATTTCTGTATCTTGAAAAAATGTAATTTATTTTTGATAACGGCTCTTAAATCTTTAAAATACCCGCTTTATTTTATTTTGGCTCTTGGAATTCTGTGCTGTTAAAAACAAACCCAATATGATGCATTTTAAGGTGGTGTTCAGTAAGATGTGTGGGTTTTTCTGTGTTTTTCTTTTTTGGAACAGTGGGAATCAATGCTTTTTCACTTAAGGCTACTGCATGCATAAACACTTCTGCATTTATTGTCATTTTTAAAAACATCACCTTTTGTAGTTGGATGAACAGATTCTGTTCTGCATCTGTCCGGTTTATTTGCTTTTTAAAACATTAACCTATGGTAGTAATTTATGTAGAATAAAGTGTTAAAAAGCCAATCATTTGAGTTCTATAATTTGTGGTACCATATGGCTTATTGTGACTTTGGCATGTATTTTTGCAAACAATGCTGTAAGATTTATACTACTGACAATTTTTGCTTTACTTGTATACAATATAGAGTACGCACATTTGGGACTGCATTTCTAGAAACATACTGCCATAAGTTATCTGAGCAAAACACATGTAACCAAAAAGTAAAGCTGAGGAAATACTCCTAAAGCTGAGTATTTCCTAATTGTATAGAATCTTACAGCATCTTTGATAAACATCTCTCAGCAAAAGTGCCGGTTAGTCAGGATTGTTGAAAATATAGTAGAAAAGCTGATTCTGGTTATTTCTTTAAGGACATTTAATTGTACGGACAACATAATGTAACTTTGTCTCAACATTCACAGGTTGACTATAATTACCTTAATTTCTGTGCAGACCGAAGGGGCACTGTAGTATACCCAAAAGTGCATTTTGCCTAGGACTTTTCGGCTTTTCCTGTAGGTAGTTTAACAGGCATTACAATTTGTAACTGAAATGTTGCTTTCAATGAAAGTGTCTTGATGTTTCAGTTATTTTTAATTGCCATATAAAAATAGAACTATCTTTTGGGTCTATCGGTTTTCTCATGCACAGGCAATACCTGAATTTAAAATGATTTGTGAGCCACTTGTTTCTGAAGTGTTTTGGTAGTTCTCTTAAGGAATAGCTAAATATTGTGCTTTTCAGAGCGTCAGAGAAGGGGGAATGGGGGAGGGGGAGGGGCGCCACGGAATCTGTCCTGGATCGGGCCAGCCTCAATAGTACTGGCAGCCAAGGTTCTGTTAGGATTTCTGTACATCTAGTGTAGTAAGGAAGGATCATTCAGGGGTGAAAAACAAAGAGCCATTTTAACAATGTGGAGTACCTTCAGCTGTTCTACAGCCTTTTTCTTCCCTCCCCAAAGAAG